TCTGCCTCTTTCTATTAATTGTATTTTCAGGGGCGCCCTGTTTCATAATTCTACTCATAATTATGTTGAACACAATGAAAAACAAAAAAAAACTAAACAGTGATTTCTCCTTTTTCGCAAGTGCAGTGTTATTGAAACACATAAAATTACAACTGAATAAAACCAATTTGTAATTGTGATACTGCTTCATCAGATTTATACAGCTGAACCATACAGTTTCAGGTGTTTGCAATTAAGGTAATTATTAAAGAAATAAAATGTGAGGGAAGTTTTATTACATGAAAGTACTTTTTATAGGAGAATATACCAAGTATCCTTGATAGAATGTCCATCCACATCTCGTCAGTTACAAAAATTAATCAAATATTGCACCTCAAACTGAAAGTTATCAGTGTGACGTTAATAGAAAGTTCTCTTTTTTGAGAAATTCTGTGTGGGCTGCACCAAAATGGTTGATTCTCTGATTCAAATGACAAAGTGACCCAAAATATCCCAAGAATGGAAAAAACCTGTAGAAGTCGTTGAGACTTCTTGTTTCCATCACCATAGTCCATGACATTAAGCAGGACATACAGTACTCTCAGTCACTGATTCCACATTACAATAAATTCAATTGTAAGAAGTTTTTTCTTGGGTTGACATAGAATTGCCTTTTTATTGGATTGCTTCTTTGGTAAATGTTTCTCAACACATCTAAAAAATTGAAATGATAAATAATGTACACTACAAGCGGGGTTTCTTCCATATTTTTTAGTCCATATTTCTTCCATCTACTTAGGCCAAAACAGTTTTTTTTAAGTTTCACTGCTAATTATGCAGTACACCGACACAACAAATTATCACAGATTTAAGGCCAGTTTGACAGTAATGAGTGTCATTTGAAGGTGCTGTCTTTGGTAATTCCTGGTGTAGGTGGGTATTACTGTAATTATATGTCAATTAGGATATGCAAATGAATGAGCATTACATGGAAATAAGCAAGTCTCATAAACAATTTGGCCATCAGACTAGTTTAATGCGGTATTACCCACTTTTAAGACTAACACTTAAAGAAGTGGGATCCCTCATTAAAAAGAGAAGTTCATTAGTCATTCACTAATCATTTAACATATTTTTTAAACAACTAATACATGCTTAAAACCAGGTGTGATCTAAACACTTGAAAATGTATTTGTTTTAACATTGAAATCTTTAACTATTAACTATAGTTTTCTTCTATAATGCAAAATTGTCAGGAAGATTTTTAGCTTCATGACTATTTTAATTTCCATCCAGTTACGTTTTCATAACTTTGTGTCACATGTTGTGAAGGATATTCTACACAAAACCTTTATTTTTGTTAAACCCACCACAATTTGGAATTACCAAGTACGCGTTTGCAACTCTTACAGCGATGACCTACTGTACAGTATGTAGCCACACCTCCAGTAGGAACGAGGAAGGTTCAAGCCTACAGGAGGTCTGACAGGAAAGAGGGATATGTCGTTTACACTCAGCACCTCAAACCTGTATCCCATGCCCAGAAGGCCAAGAAGAGTTGCTGAAAGTTGAGAGAGCCCTGACCAAATTATCCCACCCTACTGTGGGCTGGGCTGAGCTGAGCCTCCGTCTGGGGATTCCCAGTCCGAGCCAGATGCAGACATGAGCCAGGCTTGAACCTGTTATCATACTGTAGCTCAGTCTTTGCTCGGGCCAGCTCCTTTAACTGGGGGTATTGATTTTCAGTTTTCACTGAGCTCTGCACAGCTCTCACCTAAAATCCATGAAGGGTTTATCAAATCTGCTCCCGTCATAAAATTGACATTTTCACTTAAGTTGTAGAGTTGCTGGAAATTCTTGACAAAAATGATAAGAGTCATAAAGTCTGCCTGACCCTGTTTTACCTGACCCTTGTCCTCTACACCCACTGCCACTTTTGAAGTAAAATCAATTATTGTCCCTGTGTCACTTCAGAAACAAGGTACAGTATTAGGGTTGATGTGTGAGAAGACAAAAGAATCTTGAAAGTATTAAGTGACTCGAGTGCACACCTTTAAGATGTACTTAGGTCATTCAATAGAGGTCTCAAATGATTCTTCGATTTCTGGAATCATAAACAAGAGAAAAGGACTTCAGATTCCTTGAGTCATAATATTAGATTTGGAATAATTCGACACTGAGAGGAAATCCTCCACTGTGGTTGTCAGAAATGGTGGACAATCTACTCTGCTACAGCTAGGCAAAAGGCCACCAGGTACCAACAGCTGCTACCCACCAGTCAACCTTGGGCATCTGAGAAGGGATAAAGCTGCACTGCGCTGAGCACTGCCTACATTGTAGATATTCCCACTGTATTGGAAATGCCCTGTAGCATCAAATATTCATATAAAAAAGAATAAATATTGGTAATCCAAAATAAATGGGTCAGAAAATGTAAACTGAATGTAAATTAGGATTTTAAAATATCAAGCATGTTTTTCTTTTCTAGAGCATGTAATTGCTTTAAAACAGGCATTTACAAAGGAAACAACAGGAACGAAACTTTGCACAGAGTATTCTTTTGTGTTGGAGCTCCTCTTAGTGGACAACGATGAACAATTCAGTTGTGGGTATTGTGTAAACTTGTTCCTCTCAAGGAAAGAATGCACTAAAAAAAACTATATAATTCAAGATCTTAATGGAGAAATTCTCTTACTCTCTACTGTTTTCATACAGTACCTAGCTCTGCCTATATAGATGATTATTCCACTCGAAAAGACACAATAACCACAATACAGAATAATGTACATGGTGCATTTTACAAATATGGTTTTATATGTACTGTAGTCCATTGAAACAAATATATAATGTAGTTCTTTATGATATAATATGATATATACATATATATATTATGATATTATTTTTATTTATTTTATATTTATTTTGTATTACTGTACGTATTTTACTTTTTCATCTATTCTGATATCTGTCTTTTTGCTTGTCCTGGGCTGGACTACTGTAACACATCAATTGCCCTTCGGGATCAATAAAGTCTTATCTATCTATACTGTATTGAAGCTTGAATATAACAGGATGGAAAACAATGGTTTTATTTTTTTATTTTATAAGCATATCTGTCATGGCAAAAGGGTAATTCATGTTAAGTTCTAGCACTTTTTTTCTTCATTGTAAAATTCTAATTGTTACCAACGACACGAAACCTACACATCAGTTTGGATTGTTCATATGGAAAGCTCAAAAGAATAAATTTGAGTCTTGTAGCAAGTCCAACAAAAGCTACAATCTTCAGTAAGGTTTAATAATAATCTTTATTTTATGCAGATAATTGGTTTATGCCTTCATGACTCATTACCTCAAGCATTTTACATCAGAAATGAATGCAGTAAATTAACGCAGGGTTTGAAAACACTGACTGAGACATAATATGAACTGGAAGGCTATTCCACAGCCTTGGAGCACCAAAACAGAAAGAAGGGTCAAGAAATACAGCGTAAATGTGATGGAAATTATCACTATAAAGCAGGACTAAAACTTCATGTTAGTTACAGTTGGATTTTCAGAGTGTTACAATGAATCTTAATCAGATTTTTTTTAATCAGCAGACTTACTTAGTTGAATGTGCATTGTATTGTCAAATACAAACAGAAATTAAAATTCAGACAAGCTTAATTCAGCCTGTTGCATTTGCTCAAGGGAAGCACATCCATTCTGGCAGCACATAAGGGCTCAAGTGTACAGTACATGGGATATGCTGGGATTGAATTAGCAAGGGAGACCTACATTGTCTACCCCCACAGGTACTCCTGCAACAGACTGAGCTCCTAGGGGCTGCTCAGCAAGAAATTGTAATTAAAAGATATTGCTGCTCTGAGAAGAATAACCATATACATTCTGGGCTTAAGTGAATGTCCTACACCTACACTGATGAGCTGAAGGAACAGAACCCTTTCAGTCTTGAACAGAGAAGACCGTGAAGGCAGCTGAAACAAGAATTTAAATCCTGAAACCCCTTGGCCAAAGTCAGACCAGCAGATTTCTTTAGAAAGCACAGTGAAACACGAACAAGAGGGATCAGGTGGAAACTGTGAAAATAAGACTTAAACTGAGAACAGGAAGAGCTGCCCAGCTCTGTTGTTGAAGCCAGTACTATGGTTTCTAACACAAAATGTCTGAAAGAGATCTTTGGATTCAATTAAGTACTAAATGGGCTGGAATGGCCAGATGGCCACCTAACCTTTCTAATGTCCTCACAGGACAAGTGTTTGGTGCCTTCAGTTCTCCAGATCATATTACAAACAAATCCAAAGTCAGACTATCACCCAGTTCTCAATAATTAAATATGAATAGATGCTATTAGGTTAAGCTATGCATCCTGAACAATATACAACCAGTATTTTTACACAATATATATATGGTCTTAAATATATTATGTTAATAATATATTATATATCATATATGTTAATACATGATGGTACATTAACCTACCAATCAACTTTGCACATTGCAAAATGTAAATAACCCCCATTCTCTCGAATTTATAGCACTGAAATGGCACCACAACAGCCTACTATATATTTCAATGAAAATCACAGCTATATACTGTATGACCACAATACAGTAGTGTGATGGCGCTAAAGGTATTGTGGCTACATATACTTTCCATATGACTGATAACCCACATAAGGGGGAATGATATCAACAAACCTAGACCATTTCAATCATACTAAAGAGATCTGAAAAAAACAAAGTTTATGTTTTACTTATTTAGTCTTGAAGATATGCTCACACACTTCTTCTCACACACTTTTTCTCACACACTTCTTCTTTGTTGACTATTTTGCCTTCGACAGGCAGGTGCTATAGCGTTCAGTGAAAGATAAACAGCGCTCCTTCACAAGCCAAGGATCAATAAGAAAAAGAGGAAGAACAATGAGTAAAAATAAAATTGGAGTTTCCCTTATTCACATGCCTAGTTCACCCAAGACCTCACAGTATGCAGAAGTTAAATTGAGTTCATTTACCTGTGTCATTTAGGTATAGCGCTGGTCTGCTGGTCAAGAAACACAAAATCCAAATTGCTGCCAGAGTACAGTGGAACATTAACTTTTATTTTCCCACTCAAAATATCTTACAAAGGAGCTCGACCTGTGCCTTCTGGGGGGTTTGAGTTCCTCCCAGGTGTTTATACACACATTTCTTCTTGAGTTCTCGACAGCATTTCTTCACCCTGTTTCCTGTTCAAAGCACACCCTGAGGTTCCTGTTTACACCGCAAAACAGAGCGACTGAGGTAAACACTGAGAATCGGCTTCTTCAGGAGGAAAGCAGCGAGGTTCATTTCATTGCTTTCATAACTGAACTAGACCCTTGCTACACAACACAACTCTTTCACAGACATAAGAATAGATTTAAAGAATCTGAAGCATTAAAGGAAGTTTAGTCCACTATGAGATATAAGGTATACTGTACAGTACATTTAAGTTTCAGCTTTAGGTTTTTGGGAATTCACATCTCTAAAGATCTAACCTGGACTGTGAACACTGACTCTATCATGAAGAAGGCTCAGCAGCGCCTTTATTTCTTGAGGTGCCTCAAGCGATGGGGGATGCCAATACATATGTTGGTGAACTTCTACCGCAGCACCATCGAGAGCGTCCTCACCAACGGGATCACCGTGTGGTATGGCAACACCTCTTCGCGCACTGCAGAGAATGGTCAATATGGCCCAGAAGATCATCGGCTGCGGTCTCACAGAGATTAAACAGCTCTATGAGGACCGCTGCCGTGGTAGAATTCTGGCCATCACAGAGGACAGTCACCACCCCGGGCATGAGCTCTTCACCCCACTGCCCTCAGGCAAGAGATATAAGAGCATACGGACACTTACCACCAGATTCTTCAATAGCTTCTATCCACAAGCAGTGAGACTGGCGACCACATTTAGCCATCCCCCTCGGACCACACCTACACCATCACCATCACCATCTACCTCTTTATGATTTCTTATCTATTGCACATCTCCAGTCATTGTTTACACGTCTGTATTGTTTACATTCAAACTGTCTACATGTTTACTTGCACATTGTCTATTGTTTGTTTGTACATTGTCTTGATGCACTGTTTGCACTTTGTCTTGTTTTTTACACTTGTTTTACAATCGAGAGACTTTCTGTAAGTAAGAATTCCATTGTACCAGTACCGGTTACATACTGTATGGCAATAAAGTTCAAGTTCAAGGTGAATTGTTTGCAGGTTCTCAGGTAGCTATAAATATATATATGCATATTAAATATATAATCAATTTTAAAAATCCAATCAAATGATGGGAGACATCAAGCATGTATCCATACATCTTTCTGTAAATGAACAAACTACAGCTAGGCCTGGAATGTGATTCTGGACCCTTGACACTGGATTCAAAAATGTCATTTCTATCTTAAAAAGACCACATATCCTGAAGAAAGCCTGTTTGTATATAAGTATTTTGTATCATCCCATAACTCAAGTATATTCCTCCTGTAGTCAGCCTCACCACGCTTAACATGTCAAATGTTTTACATCAATAAGATGTCATAATATTGCTAATTGGAGTCCACTACAGTACATTTGGAGTAAAACCAAATCAGTAAAAATAAAGTAAAAATTTTTAAAAATACTGAATATATAAATTATGATATATAAGAAGTAGTTGCATCAAAGCAGTTTACATTTTAAGGTGGGAGGGGGAGGGGGGTAGTGTTGTACTTGAGCTATTGCACAACAGCCTACTCTGGGTTAAGTCACCTGGTTTACCTGGGGCCCTGCTTTCTGAGATTGCTGGGATTGCTCCGTGGTGCTGCTTTGCCCTCATCTTGCTTTCTCTCTGCACCTTGTAGGACATCCATCCATTTCCTGAGTGCTTTATCCAATGCAGGGTGACAGGGATTTTCTAGAGCAGTGGTTCCCAATCTTAGTCCCAGGGACCCACAACACATGTGCTAGTTTTTGTTCCACCTAAGTGCTCAATTAAGTAATTGTTAACCCTTAATAGACATAATAATAGGTTTAATTTGAACTCTTTGTTTTCAGTTCCTAAAAAAGTAGGAAGTTGCCTTTGACTGTATTTTGTTTCTTAAGCGACTTCAGTAGAACAAAAGAAAAAAGAAAAACATGCAGATGTTCTAACCAAGCAACTATAGGTTAAGGACTTATTTAAGCGAAGAAGGAGGACTGTGAATCCCTGGTCTAGAACATGAAATTGATTTGTCAAGAAATTTGAGCTGTAGGCCATTTGTGTGAATTCAAATGTTATTTTAAAATAACTCAGAAGGAAAATATTTTTTCAACAATTCAGATTTCAGAGCTACAATTATGATAAATTATATACAAGTGCCTTTAAAATGCACTTTGGGGTGTTAAGTCAAATAATCGCCTCTCCGTGCAGCCCCTGCCACACCAAGTTTCAAGTTTGTAGATCAATTTATCGTCAAGTATTAGGTCTTTCATGATGTAAACTGAGTTTATTTAGAAGACATACGCTTTAAAACTACAGTGCCACCTCGATATACTCATAAGGAAGCTGTTGTGAGCGTATAAAACCAATGAACCGTAAAAGAACGTCGTTTTATTTTTCACTTCCAAGTAAACCACGACCTCAAGATGTTTACCAATAAGACGCATTCGTCCTGGATTTTCTCCTCAAGATCTAATACCTCAACGCTTCACTTCACTTCCAATTTTGGAAACAGATAAGTTTTAAGGATACCCCACACCCCGAAAAAAAGAAATACTTTTCAAATTCTGTATGTACTGTATGTTCTGTTGTAATTAATACCTCTATGTCACCTCGCTGGAAAAAGCGGCTGCTATCATTCTAATGTGTGGCAGTGGTTCTTCAGGGAGGTCGCGATAACATAATGGATACAGGGCAATTATGCAGGTTAAATGTGTCACACGTCCACCAGATGCTAAAAGCTGCTTTAATGTACACGTCTCGTCCCCGGCACGTTGAGATTTGCCTTGTCTACGTGATTGTACACTGCAGGTGCGTCACCCGAAAAGAGAGGAGACTCTTCCACGGGAGTGACCAACCCGAAGCACGGATGCGCATCATGTGACAGCCAGCGAAGCCGTAGCAGCCATCTTGGAAACTGGAGAGGGACCTCTTCTGCGGAGAATTAATGAATAAATAGTAATAAAAAAAAGGCATTCGTAACATTTGCAGTCGCACCTGCGCTGCGCTTTATTTTCAAAGGCAGCGATGGTTCAGTCGTGTTCGGCGTACGGATGTAAAAACCGATATCACAAGGACAAGAACATTTCTTTTCACAAGTAAGTTAACTCCTGTCGGTCACCGCAGGGCGCAAGTACAGCTGTTTTCAAACAGTTTGCAATACTGAGGGGACAATCTCAAGTAGGCTACGGGGCAAACCGTGCCGTGATTTCTCCGCGAAGCCCAGCAAATGAATATAAAATCAGTTGATCGGAGATACAAAGCGTGTGTCCGCCGATCTTTATGTAAACGAAATCAATGATTTGGGTATGACGTGCATTTCTGGGTTGCTACTCGTACATCGTGGTGCGTTATCCTCCGAGGAGCACATGACAGGGCAGTTTGTGTAATTACCACCTTTCAGATGGATACATTAAATTAAACGTATACCGAAATGGGAAAAAGGCAGTGTTTATGAAAAAGAATGGAAATGTAACACAGGGCTACCCTCGCTTTTATCTGTAAATGCCAGTTCTGACTGTCATGTTTGAAAATGGGACAGACGACGAGGTAGCGATTTTTGCAGCCCTGTTCTTCATATGAAGTATTAAATATTATTTGATGTGTGATTTTAGGGTACGAGTCAGTTTCCACACTCTCTGGAGCTGGAGACGTCTGGATATGTGGATATGACAAACTCTAGGACAGCTGAATGTTTAGGAGAGTCGGGGATATAGCAGTGCTGCACGGATTTGGATGTGGTCCGATTAAGTTACACCTTAATTTAATGTATTGCCCTGCGTTAAATTACATATGATCTGAACTAGCCAGAAGAGTGTAAGTGCCGTAGTTTTCGGTTGGCTTGCATTTTAAAGACTAAAGATTTTTTCATAACTATTTTAGATTGATTGCCCTGAACAACACAATAAACGTTATTGTTATAAATTCTCTTAGAAGTCAAATAAAGGTATACCATGTAAAAAATATGGAGGTATTACTATAAATCCTGGAGTGCTGGACTTGTGTTGTTCTCTCAAACGCCAAACAAAACAAAACAACATATGAATATATGAAGAGAAAGGCAATGCCTCTTGAAGTCGTGTTTGCTTATTCATCAGGTTTCCTCTTGCGCGGCCTGATGTGTGTGGAAAATGGGTCGCCGCGATGAGACGGAACAACTTCAAGCCCACTAAATACAGCAATATCTGCTCACAGCATTTCACCAAGGACTGCTTCAAACGCGAGTGCAACAACCGCGTGCTGAAGGAAAACGCGGTGCCCTCGCTCTTCTGTTTCAACAGGCTCGATGAAAAGGTAAAGCCAGGCGGAGAAGGTCACTTTTTCTTAAGAATTCAAACATGTGACATGCTCTGCTGTTTGTTTGTTTTTTCATCTTGTGTACAGTAGTTCAACTCCCGTGCTTTGCAATTGTTCAGTGTCTTCACAGGCTAAATGTTTTACAAACTTTCCAAGAACTCATAACATCCTGACTTATGTATGTTGTATATCGGCTGGAAATACTGTAGTGCTGTATTTCCAGCCTATGTTTTTTAATCGTAAGAAAAAACAACATTTAAGTAATGGATTACTGATCAACATTCAGCTGGGACTAGAATATAGGAGATGGAGATTGGACCCCACCAATTGAACCAAGGGGCATGTTCAGACTCTTGTATCATCCTAGGAAAATGAATGCTAGTGTTATTTATTTCATGACTGAGAATAACCTCTTGGGTTAAGGTTATTTCAAGTTCTTATGTCTCAGAATTCAAGAAAATCGTTGACTTTCTATTTTTAAGGAGAAAACAATTACCTTTATTTTTGAGCATCTTCTGGAATTTGGTGTCCACCGTGTGCAGTCATTGTCACAGGATGCTCATATTCATATATGTGACATATGTGACAGGAAGAGGTACAGGGCCTTGCAAAAGTATTCAAACCCTTGTACAGTTCTCACATGTTGTTGTTATAAAGCTTGCAAGTCATGATACTTTGAAGTGGCAATTAATCTTTATGTACACAGCCTCCACACATTCAAAGCAACAAAAACAAAAAGAAAGAAGTAATTGATATGAAAGGAAAAAGTTATGTATTCAGACACTGAATACCTTGAGGTCCTTTATAGGCCCTTAACGTGCTGACTACAATATCTGGACTAATGAATTACCTGTGAAATGTAACCTTTTGTATTTTTGTATTGCACCTTGTTGGCAGGCAATATCAGTTTGTGCTCACTTGTGTATATCTATTTTTACGACTTGCGTAGTGCTGGTACGCTTTCACACTCGGCACCACAGGAAGAGTCTGAATTCTTTTGCAAGGCTCTGTAGTGTACATCAGCCTGTAAAATCTGTCGGGTATCATTTTTAAGCAACCATTTGTAAAAGCCAGGCCTTTGCTGGAATAGATCGAACTTTCTGATGGCAAGAAAAGAAAAAGAGAGCTTTGAACTCCAAGACTGAAGTGTTCTCATGTTCATGAGAAGCAGTACCTGGAAATATCTCCGTTGTTTGATGCTATCTCCGTTGGAGGATGATATATCATCCCACATTTGACTCCATCTGAAAGAGAGAGAAGTACTGTACATTCATGCTCACTGAACGCTTTTTTTTTCCCCCATGCAATCCTGTAGGATGAGGCCTTGGATGAGCAAACCCCACCAGAAATGACTCTTCCCCCTGAGCTGCACCTCACTGACTCTGAACAGTCACCACCACCACCTTCGCCACTGCCGGCTCAGGAACCCGGGCTGCCCCAGCTGCAGAACGTGGTGCAGATGGTTGTGCACCCAGCCCTGCTTCCCAGCATGTCCATATCCTGCGACCACAACTACACAGTGGAGGACACCGTGCAGCAGAAGAAGAGGATCCAGCAGCTGGAGGAGCAGGTGGACAAGCTGCGCAAGAAGCTCAAAACCGTGCAGCAGAAATGCCGGCGCCAAGAACGACAGCTGGAGAAGATGAAGGCCACGCGGGAGTTCCAGAAGGACAAGGACGCCGGGTCGGGAGAGAGTTACGTCATCCTGCCCAAGGAGCTCTACGACGTCCTCAAAGGCATCGAGTCCATGGACAGCTTGTAGAAGCCCCCCCAGTCAGGAAACACTGAGTCTTGTGTTTCTTTTCCCCCTATGTTTCCAGCGACACAGCCTGCAGTAAGTCGAGAAGTCCACAAGGGTGGTGTATTGTGACGCAGTGTCGCAAGGCATGATCTCCCCTACAGTAATGTACCTTGCGGCACAAGAGGACCACAGCAGAGTAGGGAGGTGATGGCTCTCAAAGGTATGCGTTGGCCTTCGCTGTGCTGCCATTTTGTCCCTGACGCTATATCATGTGCACAAATCACATCACCATACATGGAAATCCCATCTCACCCTGACTGGAAGCATCAACAGTCCCGAGTCTTTCGTTTTCCAAACAACTTTTCGGCGTGCTGTTTGAAGCAGTGTTTTGTTTCGCTTCTAATTTGTGTTGGGTTGCTTTTTATAGGATCTTATTGAAATTTGAAGGACTCGGATTCCCAGATCTTTTGTATTTTGTTGCTTTTATAACAGGGTTAAATTCCAATTTTCTTTATACAGTCCAAAGGAATAAAACGTCATTTACTGTACTCGTGAGTTACTGTTGTGCAAAGCAGTGGAAAATCTATTAGAAACAGTTTTACTGTAGTAAACAGATATTGCAGTAACTTTCCACTTTTGACAGAAATATTTGGACGAATCAGAGTGCAAAGCACTTAAGTGCTATACTGGTGTGCTGTGGGTTTTTATGAACTCGCTGTCTTGATGCTACCTACCTGTGAATGAGATATTACATTGGACCTGCAAATGCACGTTTATTTGCATACAGTGAAAGACTTTTTTCACATTTTCAAAGATTTTTACATTTTCAACCCTGATAGTAAAATTATACAGTGATCATGATATTCATCATCATCATCATCTTAGGGCTTGGTCCTAAACAAGATGCTGCACTACAATTTTTTCGTTACAATTCAAACGGTAGCCTTTAAACACTTATTCTATATTCTACATGATCCCTTGGTGGCTGTATTATGTATCTACCTTTATTACAATTTCCCAAATACTTCGTGAGAATCAAGTCCTCTGATAACATAGAGGTCCCCAGTTGTCTGAGCCAATTAAACACAGTCATACTTGATACCCAGGACAAGCAGTTTTTGTACCTTATTTCCCTTATAAGGCAAATAATTAATATCTGTACATGTAAATTCTTTGTTATCCACTGAAAGTATAAATAAAAAGAACCACCCTACCATGCCTTTTGTTACTTGTCCCTTTCCTTTTCATTTCTTTAGTGTTAATTGTCAGTGTATTCATAATAAAACCATAAATAGTATTGCACTTAAACCACTTTTTTGGATTAGTGTCAACAAATGAGTTTAATTTGCTCCGGGTTTAAAGGGAAGTGTTTGTTCATTAACAGATATAATGGATATAATTAATGGATATTAAGGATAAAATTAGGCCAAGAGGGGCACTGCTGAGGTGAAATCACCTAAATAGATCATTTTCTACAGCATCACAAGGCCGAAATTAGACTTACTGCTTAGCAAGGGTTCTAAGTGAGAGCAAGAAATATCCTTATTTAGAACAGAGGACAAAGAAGATGAAATCTGCTTCCAAAACCTTTCCCAAAATACGTAAAAGGGCACTTATAGTGCCCACTGACAAAGCATACAGAAGGGACTAGAGACAAGCTTCACAGGATAGTATCAATAAGGGGTCGAGCACACTCCATTAAGATAATTAAAGTGAAACTGTCAATGCTTAGAATGTTTGCAGAAGCAAAATGAAACAATTGTTTCTGGTAATTTCTGCATCATTAACATTCATCTAATTCAAATAGTAACTGTTAAATGTTTGTATGAAGCCTCTAACAGAATAGCATCGATACGGGAAGCCAGTTCCTTTGTTTTGCCCAAGAACCCAAGCAGTTTTTGAATTGGACAGACAATCCCCCCCTGAGAGATGGTATTGGCATGGATTACAGGATGAGGTGTAAAAACAAAGAGTCAGGAAGGTCCTACTGAGAATGCAAGTCCTGGAAGTGAGGACCATCCTTATTTAAATATCTACTAGATTGTGAATCTACTCCATAATGAAAAAGATAAAGGGAAAGTAGGTGAGAAAGAGTTTACAATAATGGAAATTAGGAGAGTGGGAATGCTTTCTTTCTGAGATTTCATCAATCTTTACATGAGACACTATATTGTAAATAAGTGCAGAATTATGGGGCCAAAAAAGTCTACAATGTCTACTGGGATGTACCAGTTCAAATCACATGCTGACGTCTAAATTGACAGATAAGACTTTCTTCAAGAGGACGCCAAGATGCAGGAGTGTCCAAATGAAACAAAACGCACAAAAAAAGAAAACAAGAAAAAGCTTGGCAGACCTTTCACTCTGTAGAATGGAGTATTTAGTACAAATCACTTAGCTTTCTATATTAATTCTAGTGAGCAATTTATGCCACTATCCCAAAGGGTGGAAAAAGATATTATCGAACTGAAAAGGTGAAGCATGTTCATTTACTGTATATTATGGAGATGCACACTCAAAGGGGATTCTCATCTCATTGTTAAAGTTGTTTACTGTGATCACAGATCACAAGTAAAGAAGAGTAAATCTCAAAAGAGTTAAACCAGCAGCACAATCACAGGTAGGCCAGTTTTCTCCATTGCCTAGTATCAATGTTTACAATACTGCCTACAATTCATTCTAAAGGCTTGCTGGGCACCATAATTATGAGAAATAGAGGCAAAGCCAGGTGGCACATTGGTACAGTGGTTGGCACTGCTGCCTTGCAGTGCTGGGGCCCTGGGTTCAATTGTGGATCTGGGGTGCTATCTGCATGGAGTCTGCATGTTCTCTCTGTGTTTGTGTGGGTTTCGTCCAATACGTTTTGATTTTCTCCCACAGTACAAAAACATACTGGTAGGTTAAAATGTGTTTTTGGAAAACCTGGCCCTGGTGTGAATGAATAATTTCACGTCTGTGTGTGTATATAAGGCCTGCGATGGACTGGTGTTCTGTGCAGGGTGCAGCCTGTCTTGTGCCCTTTAATGTAAAGAACACAAGAAAGTTAGAAAGCAATTTATTTCTCAGTTTATTGGTTATGATTAAATCATTGTTCACTGATTTTATATCTTACAGTAGGTGGAGGATATTAACCTTATGAATAGACTGCTAACACTGAATTAGAGGATAACCTTTCAGAGCTCCCACACTCCTACAGCAATACAGCGTAACCCCACTCCCCCACCAAGAAGTTAAATTAATATCAGTTTAGTGTGCTTTTAGATTGTATAACAGATTGCTTAAAATCAAACATTTATTACAAATTGCATTTTGACAGCAACATTTCCTTATTTCAAGACACAATAAAAGATAATAATAATAACTTTTATTTACAAAAGTTATAAAATGCTTTTCCTACCCCAAGGACACTGTACATCGTGAATAAAGAAAAAGGCAAGAAAAGTACAATAATAGTAAATGGAAAAAAGAAACAAAAGCATACAGGTCTTTACAAAGTGATTGAGACAATCAGATGTAGACCTGGGTAAATCAGTTTTAAGTTTAGGTTTGAGGAGAGTTACAGAAGCTGTCTCTCATAAAGTCTGAGGAAGGTCACTCCACAGCACTGGAACAGAAGCAGAGAAGGCGCAGTCACCAAAAGTCCATGATTTAGTCCCAGGGACAGTGAGAAGCGGACCAGCCTCAACTGAACGGAGCCTATGGCAGGGAATGTAAACATGGAGGGTTTCAGAGATGTACAGTATGATGGAGCCAGATTGTTCAGAGCCTTGAAAGTCAGCAACAAGAATTAATAGTTAAGAATTCAATAATGGTTCCATGGTTCAGGGCTCTGGCATGAATAAAGTTGATGACTCGTACAGCTGTCGACACGACATCTTTCAGAATTTCTGGAAGTGATTGGGGAGCCAGATCGTGGTGTAGGAAACTGTGTGTCACAATGATTTGTGGAGCTTCTTTCTTCACCAGATGGGAAAAGCCAGAGTTCTTTCCCCAAATCGCAGGTACCCCATTGGTGAATCTCGTGTTGAGAGGGCTCTTCCAATCAAACCCTTGCTTTTTTTAGGGAGCCAGTGTCCACAAACCAAACAAGAATGAGCAGCAGACTGCAGCGTGACACATCGGCATGCTATTCTATAATCTGTTTCAGAATATTCAAAGACATGTTGGCAATTTGAGAACGAGTGATGTCATTTGGACTGGCGTCCCCTCCAAGGTGTGCCCTGCCTTACAGCCTTGCTTGCTGAAATAGCTGGAGCTGGTTCCCTCGCAACCCTGGTCTGGAAGAAGCTTTTAGAAAACAGATGGATGAAGTCATTTGACAAAGGAACATCCTCAGTCTTCTTCCCCTTTTCATACCAACTCAACCATTTCCAGGGCACAAGGTTTGACTAAAGTTTCTCTTAAATGTTTTCTTATTTTTTGCCATCAAAAACACAACTTTGTAAGATGATTCTGGCCATGGGTTTTGCTTTGGAGACAATCCAAGTTTAGGCAAACTTCCCGAGGCCTCAAACTGAGCTTTGTTCTGTCTAAATACATTCCCAGGGTGAACAGAAGAAAGGTGCTGTTTCAGCTACAATGGGTATTTTGCTGGCATTGCAAACAACGTTCCCACATAGGAAACAGCGAGGCCTCTGTAAGCCAAGACAATCTGTGATGAGGTGAATCCAAAAGATATGTACGATTCATGGAAATTTCTCATATTGAACATTTCTTAAAATCTTTCTGGTTAAATTAAAAGGGTGTAAGAATACTGTACTGCCCTCTGTGCACAGTAGTCACAACAATATCAAAATCTGAAATACTAGCTCAAACAGGACTGGACACACAAGGAAGCGGGAAATCATCTCACGTTTCTGTATTGTGGATACTGTTTTGCTAGTACAGTGTATCAGTTTTAATACCAGTTAATTATAGATTGATAGAACCGCAAACAAGTTTGTTGTAACAGCGACAAAAACCGTGCAACGGAACCATAAGTTAATCGTTATGCTAGAAAAAACAGCCCATATATAATATAGGCCATATACAGTTTAAAAGCAAATATATTATGACGCAGTGGTTTGCAAGTTACATGGGACACAGACGTTAATCAAAACAAGACAACAGTACAAAAGGTAAACTGTTGACAAGACTTACTGTACGTAATACATAATAATTGATGGGATACACATATCGTTCATAAATTCGGTAATGACGAATTTACTTAAACTGGGAAATTTCAACTGACATTTCTTTTGAAATTGGCAATTTATTTTCAAGGGAAAGTTCGAAACTCGTGTCGCTGTTTGATTTTTTTATATTCGATCCAAAAATAATTGTTTTATATTAATATGATGGCGATTGTGGAGGCTTATATATTTAAAAAAAACTATGTTTAAACAGAATTTTGTTGAAAACAATGCAGAACCCACAATGTATACAGTAATATACTGTACCCTCAATACGTAGCATTTGCGTATTAGAAAACGTAATTATTATAATTACGTTTTGTATGTTTTAATTTTATCACAACACATTTTTATCATTAATTTTTTAACAGATACCTATCCTTGTATGTTTGAACAAATATTTCCAAGCAAAATAACTAGATAATTTAACTTCACAACGTTACGTGGAGAGTAATAACAAGGAAATAATCTGCACTCAGTAAAACATTTGTAAGGTATATACTTTAAATCCTTTGAAATTCTTATAACCTCAACAAATTTATCTGCGAAGCAGCGGGTTAGTATGAACCTATGTATTGTATACTGAGTTGTTTACCGTATGAGATGGTTCTGTGACTTTCATGACACAATGTCAGTCTGGAGTAATGGCAGTTTTAGCTATAAATCTGATTCCACAGCACACTTTTAAGAAAACAAGTAACCAGTGAACCAGGAACTTTATTATCGACCTTAATTTGCAGATATAAGAATAGATTTTCTAGTGTGATGTGTAAGGCAGGCATGCTAGGGGCTTCTATTCTCTGGATGTCATGAAGACTGTTTTTTTTTTTTATTTTGTTTTATTTACCAATACATCAAATGAACCAACAGCTGTTTACTCTGCAAGTGAGCTTTGAGATCTTAATTAATAGCAAATATTATGCAGTGAAAAGAAAATGCTTTGATGGGCAAGGAGTTTTTTTTCCATGTCTGACACAACAAAAGCAATGATTAGTTGCTTTATCATAAAAGCTGTTATTATTGTTGTTGATAATGATGACCTGGCAT